CTGCTTTAAGAACGGTGGTAATAACATCACCTCACTGTGGGTTGAGGAAGGTGGAGGACATCTTAAGGCTCCATTTCTATCCTTAAAACATAAAAGAAACAAAATAATCTCATTATTCTGCAAAACTTAACGTCACCTGTGTTATCAAGACGGTCACAATGTCTCTTTAGTGATATAGTGACACTTTATACTTTGTAGCTCAAACCTCATTATGCATTATACATTTTTCCAATGTTTCGTCAACTTATTCAGTAAATTCAGAGACTATAATTTACAGTTTCTATGTCGTCATATTTCGTGAGTGATGGAGAGTTGTAAACTGCCGGAGTTGTACAGTGTCTTGGAACCTCAGGTGGAAATATTCACAACTTTTCGTCATGGTGTTCAGAACTGCCTGTCCTCGAGACGACCGAACTCTTGGTTCCTGACGTAGTAGTTGGAGGCTTCCTGGCAGGGGGTGGCCGACGACTCCATCACGCAGGTCATCTCCTTCTGGTCGAACACGGTTCCCTCGCCGCACATGAAACTAGAAAAAGGAATAGTTATATTTTATGGGATATATGACATGCAGCCGTTGGTTTATACATTAATATACGGGGCGCCTTAATATAAGAACGTATTTATATCTCGTACTGGTATATATTACCGCTAACAATTATCCAGGTTTTGTGACACAATTCCTCAATATCAAGCTAACTCACCTGTACTGGAAGGTTTGGATAGCACCGTCAGAGAAGAGGGCGGGATTACACACATGGAAGACGCGGCAGGAGTTGTCTTGGTCGGCGTAGTAGCCGTAGGGACGGTCAAAGCAGTTGAACGTCGTGGAGATGCTACCCATCAGGACGCTGGCGCCAGAGGGAAGGTTCAGAGGTTCATAGACGCCGATGATGGTGTCGTCAGAATTCTCAAATGATGATCCAGATCTCTGGAAAGTATTATCCTGGAACTGACTTTGCTGGAAGATGCGATCGTTAGTGTTGATCTGGGAACGGGTGGCAGCGTTTAGCTGGTTGAAGTTGCCTTGGCTGGTTCTGTCGATGTTTGGTTGGTTGTTGTTGACCTGGAAACGGTTGCCGTTATTCTGCTGAGAAGTGAATGTCTGGAAGCGATTATTAGCATTATTCTGCTGGGATGAGCTACTCTGGAATGCGTTGTCGGCATTCTGTTGGATGGTGTTAGACTGGAAAAGGTTACCAACGTTTTGTTGTGTGGCTCCTGACTGGAAACTGCCACCACGGTTCTGCTGGACGTTGTTGAAGTTGTTGCGTTGGCTCTGCTGGAAAGAACTGTCCTGGAACTGACTGCGGTCAGCAACATTTGCTCTGAACTGGACATTATTGAGGAAGGTGCCAGACTGTCTGGAGACGCTGCTGTCAACCAAACCAGACCTGAAGTTGTCTCTCTGAGTGTCTTGTAAGTTGTTGTTGGGCTGGAAGGAGGAACTCTGGAACTGATTCTTGTTGCTATCTGCGGATCTGAAAGTAGAGCTTCCAGTTTGCTGGAAGAATCCCTGATCAGCAAGCCTGACAGCGGGAGTGAAGTCCCTCTTCTGCTGGAACTGTTGACCAGCAGCCAGCGCCGCCGCCAAGACCACTGGAAACACAACATATTACCAACTATGATACACAAACTTGTGACAAGTAAAAAAAATATATATATCCTTATAAAGTCGTCACCAACCTTGCCCTATGTAACGTAATGTTATTATAAAGCGAAGCATGTTTATATCTTACCTTTACGACATTTGGGTAACTTTTCATATATTAGTGATACATGAAGAACGCTTCTTGAATGGCCAAATTACTGCCTACATTAATGTTGTCTATTTTTAAAGACGTGAATCTTCTCTGTGAAGACCTCGGCCATCCAAGGCTCATAAATGTGTATTGGAAGACTTTACCTCATCATCTGATGATGAGACGATTAATTAATTAACAACTCGTCTTTTGTCTGGAGTGTTGGAGACGAATAATACTTGTTAATGATACTTAATATCTCAAGTTAAACTTTGTAATTATTGATAAGTTAAGACTATGTGTTATGAAGTATGACTTAAGAATTTAAAGACCATCTCACCGATGATGAAGGTCTTCATGACTGTCAGTGTTGGGCAGGTGTGAGCTACTGTCACCTCCCCGCCACAGCCGCCCTTATATACCCTGGGAGACGCCTACGAGAGAGGAGTGAGGGGGACCTGGAGTGGTGAGTCGAGTTGAGCGGGAAGGCGGGTGGTGCAGGTAGGACGGCAGCTATGGCCCATTCTCCCTACCAACCCTGTCTTATACTTCTAATCCTGTCTTCATTATTAATCTTCAACATATTCCTTTCCCTTGGAAGGTTAAAATCAAGAAGTTTCCTTTCGTATTATTTAAATTCACTCGACTTGGTTATGTGTAGAGTGAACTTCAGCATATTGATCACAAGGCGAATGATCCCGAAAAAGTCACTTTAGTTGACAGGTTTGTTAAGTATGATGTTTTGCTTACTGATGAAATCGTCAGATCAAATTACACCGTAATTGTATGCCAAGTTTTTATACCAGTCGACATGTTTACAAACTTAGTGGAGTTATTTGATGTAAAAATAGACTTACATTTTTATATGTCCTAATTTCTTGTAAGGCTGAGCTAGTATATGTTTGGTTAGTTTGGGTTAAGTTAGTTTAGATGGGTTTACTTTTTCAAATGACAATACATTAAATTAGCGCAGATTTTATTTGACTATAACTTATATCAAATTTGTTAGGTAAGTTTAAGCTTTGTGATATGTAAATACAATAAATTAGAGATAGTGGTTATCATCGGCCTGACGCCTGCTAGGGTCAGTGTGTATACACCAGGGTACACAAGCCTTTAGGCCGCCGCGCGAGGTTAAGTTGACATCGGTCACTTTAGGGTTGATCAGGTAATGTAAATTTAGGTTGCGTTTGATTCAAATAGTTTAATTTAGATTAAGTTTGTACAGTAAAGGTAATGATAAGTTGATTTGGTTAAATTAGAGGAAAGTCAAGTATAGATAATTTAGACTAACTTAGGTTAGATAAAGTTCATTTAGATTACGTTGGAAGAGACTGAGTTAAATTGGGATTAGTTAGGTCAATTCAGGTTAAGTATAACTACTGAAGTTGTACTTTATTTATAAGTAATGCAACCAGTCAGACACGAGCTGTGAAGAGTGAAAGTAGCGCTACAGGACTAGTACTGATAAAGACTCACTCAAGATGACACCCAACACTACACCAAGGTCTGGTGGTGGGGGGCTGGAGGCTCTGCTCTCTCAAGGTCATCGGGTGTTGAATAACGTGCAGAGTCTCACATTCCCTAGATTGTTTACTTTCTATTTTCGTCTTCTTGCTTCTTCTTATTCATCTTTTTATTTCTGTGTCTTTGTGTACTTGAAGAATAGTTTAGTGATCCATCATGTATATTGTCTTTGATTATATGTTAATAGGTGTGTGTGTGTGTGCGCGTGTGTTGTTATTTTTTTTTTTTTATATATAACATGCTCCCATGTTGTTCCATATTATTCCTGTAATGATGTGTTAAATTTACTATTATATATTCTAGTCACCTTACCCTGTGCTGTTAAGGTTTTAACTGTCATTATTTGTTCAAGCCCATCTTATTTCTTTATTTAGTATTGTAACAAGTATTCTTTGTTCTCTAACGACCATCTGCATCGTTAAACGACCCACCGGCGGGTCGCGTGGCGGGAAACCGACCTTATATATAGGACCCACCAACTGACGGAGTTAGTTCGGTCCTCTTGTCATACAGTTCACACACTCGTCACCTGTTTCTTATACTTAATTTATTTGTGTTGTTCCTGTCGCCACCAATGTGGTATATCTATGTGAGTACCTATTTATGTCTCTATTTATGTCCATCAGTATTTGCTTAGTTACATTTAAGTAATTCAGTGTTGTTTCACGTTAGTTAATTTCAGTGTTAGTTTTTATATGTTTATGCAGTGTTAACGTAATCCAATGCTTTATTTTTATTCTATAGATGTTTAGTATCATTTGTGTCTTAAAAGTTTCGATGGTGAATCAATTTGTTGTGACAGCCTACGAGGCTCTTTATTGTGTTAATATTTAATAAATTAAATTCTTAAAGGTTTACTTTATTTATTTTTATTCCCTTTTAATTTACTTCACTTTTTTGTTTGGTTACGCCTAGAACCTGGATATTTAAGTAAATTAAGAGACGGCGTAACAGTGTGTGTGTGTGTGTGTGTGTGTTGTGTGTGTGTGTGTGTGTGTGTGTGTGTGTGTGTGTGTGTGTGTGTGTGTGTGTGTGTGTGTGTGTGTGTGTGGGTGTGTGTGTGTGTGTGTGTGTGTGTGTGTGGGTGTGTGTGTGTGTGTGTGTGTGTGTGTGTGTGTGTGTGTGTGTGTGTGTGTGTGTGTGTGTGTGTGTGTGTGTGTGTGTGTGTGTGTGTGGTGCATGTGTGTGTGTGTGTGTGTGTGTGTGTGTGTGTGTGTGTGTGTTATTAACAACGATATAGTGACCCCGACCTCCAGTACTTGAGTCCCCCCCCAATAACCACAGTTTTCTATGAGTCACCACAAAGATTATTGAAAACAGCCCCAAAGTTTAAATTCAACTTCGTAGTTACATAAATTCTGTTTTAAGAAAATCTACATCAAGTTTTGGGATCACGTGAATATTACGACACCCAGCTTATTTTACCTGACGATTAAAACCTAAGTCTACCTGGATGGAAGATCAGGTTACGTTACATTATGTTAGGTTAGGTTAAGGTGTTTGATTATCAGGTGAAATAAATTGGGGTGTTTAATCTTCATGTAATCCAATGTTATGTGATTGTAGAGTCATTTGCCCCCACTTGTTGTCGGGCGTCACGAGGTCTGTAGTCTGTGTCTGTCTTCACTATCACATGAAGACTTATCAGTTGCCCTCAGTGACGTCACTGCTCTACACACTTCGGATATATTTCTCGTTCATTACAATTTTACAAGGATTATTAAAAGTAATGCATAAATAATTATCATTTATTTCGTAAATTCAGAGACTATAATTTACAGTTTCTATGTCGTCATATTTCGTGAGTGATGGAGAGTTGTAAACTGCCGGAGTTGTACAGTGTCTTGGAACCTCAGTTGGAAATATTCACAACTTTTCGTCATGGTGTTCAGAACTGCCTGTCCTCGAGACGACCGAACTCTTGGTTCCTGACGTAGTAGTTGGAGGCTTCCTGGCAGGGGGTGGCCGACGACTCCATCACGCAGGTCATCTCCTTCTGGTCGAACACGGTTCCCTCGCCGCACATGAAACTAGAAAAAGGAATAGTTATATTTTATGGGATATATGACATGCAGGCCGTTGGTTTATATATTAATATACGGGGCAGCATAATATAAGAACGTATTTATATCTCGACCTGGTATATATTACCGCTAACAATTATCCAGGTTTTGTGACACAATTCCTCAATATCAAACTAACTCACCTGTACTGGAAGGTTTGGATAGCACCGTTAGAGAAGAGGGCGGGATTACACACATGGAAGACGCGGCAAGAGTTGTCTTGGTCGGCGTAGTAGCCGTAGGGACGGTCAAGACAGTTGAACGTAGTGGAGATGCTACCCATCAGGACGCTGGCGCCAGAGGGAAGGTTCAGAGGTTCATAGACGCCGCTGATGGTGTCGTCAGAATTCTCAAAAGATGATCCAGATCTCTGGAAAGCATTATCCTGGAACTGACTTTGCTGGAAGATGCGATTGTTAGTGTTGATCTGGGAGCGGGTGGCAGCGTTTTGCTGGTTGAAGTTGCCTTGGCTGGTTCTGTCGATGTTTTGTTGGTTGTTGTTGACCTGTAAACGGTTGCCAACGTTTTGTTTTGTGGCACCTGACAAGAAACTACTACCACTGTTCTGCTGGAAGTCGTTGGAGTTGAAGGTGTTACGTTGGTTCTGCTGGAAAGAACTGTCCTGGAACTGACTTCGGTCAGCAACATTTGCTCTGAACTGGACATTGTTGAGGAAGGTGCCAGACTGTCTGGAGACGCTGCTGTCAACCAAACCAGACCTGAAGTTGTCTCTCTGGGTGTCTTGCAAGTTGTTGTTGGACTGGAAGGAGGAACTCTGGAACTGATTCTTGTTGTTATCCACAGATCTAAAAGTAGAACCTCTTGTTTGCTGGAAGAAATCCTGCTCAGCAAGCCTGACGGCAGGAGTGAAGTCCCTCGTCTGCTGGAACTGTTGACCAGTAGCCAGCGCCGCCGCCACGACCACTGGAAGCATAACATAACCTACATCACCAACTATGACACAAAAATTTGTGAAAAGTAAAAAATAAATTATATATATCCTTATAAAATCGTCACCAACCTTGCCCTATGTAACGTAATTTTCTTATAAAGCGAAGCATGTTTATATCTTACCTTTACGACATTTGGGTAACTTTTCATATATTAGTGATACATGAAGAACGCTTCTTGAATGGCCAAATTACTGCCTACATTAATGTTGTCTATTTTTAAAGAGGTGAATCTTCTGTGTGAAGACCTCGGCCATCCAAGGCTCATAAATGTGCATTGGAAGACTTTACGTCGTCATCTGATGATGAGACGATTAATTAATTAACAACTCGTCTTTTTTTCTGGAGTGTTGGAGACGAATAATACTTGTTAATGATACTTAATATCTCAAGTTAAACTTTGTAATTATTGATAAGTTAAGACTATGTGTTATGAAGTAAGACTAAAGTAATTAAAGACCATCTCACCGATGATGAAGGTCTTCATGACTGTCAGTGTTGGGCAGGTGTGAGCTACTGTCACCTCCCCGCCACAGCCGCCCTTATATACCCTGGGAGACGCCTACGGGAGAGGAGTGAGGGGGACCTGGAGTGGTGAGTCGAGTTGAGCGGGAAGGCGGGTGTTGCAGGTAGGACGGCAGCTATGGCCCATTCACTCTTGTACTTCTAACCTTGTCCTCATTATTAACCTCCATCAACACATTTGTTGTATTACAATTTATTTGAAAACAATATTCCTTTTTACAAGAATTTTGAGTTAATTTTCATATTATTTCTTTCCTAGAAAAGTTAGTTGAGTTATTCTTTCAGCTTTAGTTTTTTCGCAAAATATTCGAGTCTAATTTTAGAGTAATACAAAAGCTCTGAGAAGAATATTGAGTTAAGATCAATTGTAGAGAATACAACAAAACCATTTATAGATATCCAGAGACTTTTAGAAAGATCTTCAGAATGAAATAGTCGGTGAAAATAATCGTTGATGTGGCTGTTTTCTTCCCATACGTTAAACCATATTAAACGTTGCACTTACAGCGGTGAAGGTAACTGTCTAAGTCTTTCCAAAACCATAGCTGCTCTGGTACCGCTCAAGTCTTACGAGGCTGTTGACACCCATTCTTATATGCTGGTGTCCAGGAAGATCTTTATCATGAAGAATATTAGAATTAACCTTAATCTCAATGCTGTACTCCTACCGCTCGATTATCACGAGGGTAGAGCAGCAATAAGGTCTTCCTGCTTTACCTGAACCAGACGCTTAACAAAACTCCATATATAAGTTACCTTCCACAGCCAGAAGACACCCTCACACAGCCTACTCACATGTTGACTCCACCGATGGTAAGATGCTTCTGATTATGGTTGAGTCTTAGTTCTATACCGAGCCACCTGACAGAATTTTTACGTCACTACTGTTCAAAAGAAGGTCTATCATTTGTTGTGTTGTGACACTTTAGTGTTTGTTGCTCTTAAGAGTTAATACACAGTTGTGGGACACTAATATTTTGTGTTGGTATTTTATAGTAATGTTAATCAATTGGTATATTAAACAATCATTGCTTGTCTAATACATTACTTATTTAGAGCTTCTTTTTTTTAACCAGACATTAAATAAATGTTTTCTTATTGTTTAACGTCTAAGACTCCACCAAAATAAAGTAATTGTTGCCAACCTTGCCTTCAACGCTTAATTTTTTGATGATAAATAAAGATGTTCTTATGGGGCTGCTCCTACCTCTCATTTGAAGGTTCCATCTCAACACTCACCAAGAACCTCACCACCATATTATCAGACCATCCCATGTTGAGGTTGGGTGAGGGGAGGCGCCTACATCAGGTGTGATAAAACATTAGTGCTGGAGTATTGTGTTGCAGGCTGCCTCAGACCATCGTGCCGCACCCCTGCTGTTACTGGCTGGAAGATCTCATCAACTTTTACTCTCTCACAAGGTCGCTGCTAGAATTATTAGTTCACCCTTATGTTAATCTCACCTTCATCAAGTTAATATCATGATCTTGGTCTTGATTTATGTCTGTATCTGGATTTCTCTGACTAAATACTTGATTTATTTACATTTTGTTAACCTTTATGTATAGTAAAAATATATTCCTTTTGCTGGGAATGATATCTTTATACTCCGCGGCTCTGGAAGTTTAAGAAAGTCTCAGGGTGTAAGACAGATCAAGTAGTCGAATCTAAATTTTTTATACACAATTGAAAGTGTAAGAAGGCAACTCTCCCATCCCTTTACCCTCCCTCCCTCCCTCCCTCCTTCCTTCCTTCCTTCCTTCCTTCCTTCTTGTCCCCTTCTCTTTCCCTCCCTCCCTGTCATCTTCCCTTTCCCTTCCATCCTCCCTCCCCCCCTCCCATCCCATATTAAGTGAAGAATGTTAAAACGTTTGAAATTTCAGATCAACACTTTTTCCCCGTAGCTAAAATGAAGATAATTATATAAACTCTCTTATTGGGGTAGACTCTTAGTGCAATTTGGATCTTATTTTGGCTGTAGTCGTCGCCTGAACCGTGGAAATGCATCCCCACATCCTCAATTTAAAAAGAAGAAAAAACCCAAAAGATACTCTGAATCTTGTAAAAACTCAGGTTACAAGCGAACATAAGTTTCAAGGCTATACACCCCATAGCATAGTGTTTCGAACCGGATTTTTCTACCCTTCCCTTACCTGTCTTACTTGTTTGGCTCTCATGTCGGGTAGGAAGGTTCTTCTGTTACCTGGAACTAATAAGTCGACGAGTGAACTATGGGATGGCTATGCTTGACCTAGATTGTCGACATGTCAGCGGTTACTGTAGGTCTAAGATGTGACTTATTGTAGAAAGGGTTAACTAATATATATATGTGTGTGTGTGTGTGTGTGTGTGTGTGCGTTTTAGAGAGAGAGAGAGAGAGAGAGAGAGAGAGAGAGAGAACTCTATAACTGGTGAATACGATCCATCACAACCGTAAATTCTATCACTAATATTTGGTTGGACCTGAAATTCCTGTCTTACTTAAGTATCGAGGAAGATGACTATATGGTAATGACGACAGGAGAGGGAGGTGAAGTAGAGGCCATATTGTCACGTAATGGTCCAACACTGACATGAACGACTCAAGAAGTTCTGATGTCATTCACTTCCTGACTCATCAAGACAGTCACTTTCATCCTGGACGTCGTTAATGGCTAAATATACGACATATCTTAACTACCTCATCACTTCAAGAGTCACGACAAAGCCTATAGCCATACTTGACTATTGGTTTGCTGACGAAAAATACACCTGAACAATAACGTATGAGTAATGAAGAAAGAAAACGAAACGGTATTGGGTGACTAAGGTAAACAGAGAACGGTATGTGTAACAAGAGTTTTGTCGGCACTAGCGACTGTGTACATCCCTGCTGCTGTAATTAAGATAATGGACACCAGAAACATTATGGTTAACACGTAATTAAAGGTCAAAGGTCAGCGGTCATTAATAAAGTGGACAAGACCGAAGAGCAAAAACAAGTATCGATGACCACATATATTTACCACTCGAGGATAACCATTTTGCGACGCATCTCTTGTTGTCATCCCCCCCTCTCTCTCTCTGTTTCTTTTCCTCTAATTCGTTATTTTTTCCGTCGCCCTCTTACTCATTTCTATTCCTATCCGTTTTTCTTTCTCGGTTACGTGCAGGAGACAGTGTCAAGGTACAGTATATGAAGGTTCATTCATATTGGTCCCACCGACGAGAGACCCGCCACACTAACATGTCTCTCCACCTTTACCGTCTCTCCACTTTGTCAGTCGTGGAGGCAGTGGTTGGCCTCACACACACGTACAACCATCTGCGTCACCACTCAACCCTGTCCTCTACCCACTGAGGTTTTCTGGTTCGTTTTACCCGGCAGCAGCGTCTCGTATCTCAAGTCCAACCGGATATCGTGGAAAGTGATCCGTGCTGGCGGCAAGTATGGTGGATCGATTTAGTGGTTCTACCGCTTTAAGAAGGCGATATGTGAGGAACCTCTCATGGCTGTGTGACTCTGACGGAAGGGAAGAAAGAGACGGGCAGCTTTCTCCCCTCGTTATGCTTTATGAGAAAGTACAGTGTTAGATAAATGTAAATGAACAGCTGATATCACTGTTAAGTAAGTAGGAAAAATATAATTATGCGCAAATCAAATTTTTAAGACATTTATTTCTGACACTTATATTTTCATGTTAGGACTCTTGTTTACTGCGTCCATCACTTGATGATGTTGGGCAGGAGTGTGATCACCTCTTTGTCGCTGGTCACTTCCCACACCTTTGGGAAAATTCTGCTTATGACTCTGGTTGGCATAAGCCGTGCAGAGTCTGCATACACCAGCAGACAAGATGAAAATATTCTTTATTCTGATTTCAGGTATTTCTGAAGTAAATGTATAATTTTTCATATAAATGATGATCTGAGGAAGGTAGACTACAAGAGACGGCCATCATAAAGTTACTTGCTTTAAAGATTTTTGTCGTTGTGTTGACTGATTACATCTTCAGTATATCCTGTTACCACCTAGTAAGAGATAGTGACCTTAGCACCACTGCCTCCTACTATAGGCAGTAGACGGTCTTCCCACGGGACAGGTTGGTTGGGAGGCAGAAGGTCGGGTCGCCTCTCCATGGATGGCAACTCCCGAGGTATATAAGGAGTGACTCCAATAGCCAGAGCATAGTAGGTCACATCTTCTCAACGTCAACAGTCATGAAGATCCTCGTCATCGGTTAGTTGAGTATTTTCTCCTATTCGTACATCGTTAAACCAAAACAGAAATATATTGGTAGAACTGAAGGAAATGTTACAACTATTTTAGACGAAATTTCCCTTTAGGGTTCACAAATTTTCTCGAGATTATTGAAAATATTAGAAGATGGTTGTACTAACGATCATCTCTGATTTTGATAATTTAAGAACATTTTAGAAGTTTGTACTTTATAAATCATACATAAATAATTTATTAAAAATATTACTCTGAAATAAAAGTGTACAAGTGATATTCAGTTTGTTAGGTATCAATCATAATTCAATTTATATATTAATTAACATGGTATATTATTTGGTGATGTAAGGTGATATGTTGTGCTTACCAGTGGTGGTGGTGACGGCGCTGGCTGCTGGTCAACAGTTCCAGCAGACGAGGGACTTCACTCCTGCTGTCAGGCTTGCTGATCAGGGATTCTTCCAGCAAACTGGAAGCTCTACTTTAAGGTCTGCGGATAACAACAAGAATCAGTTCCAGAGTTCCTCCTTCCAGTCCAACAACAACTTACAAGACACTCAGAGAGACAACTTCAGGTCTGGTTTGGTTGACAGCAGCGTCTCCAGACAGTCTGGCACCTTCCTCAACAATGTCCAGTTCAGAGCAAATGTTGCTGACCGCAGTAACGTCCAGGATAAATCACTGAAGCAGAATCAACGCAACAACGTCAACACAGATAACTTCCAGCAGAGAACTAGAAGCAACTTCCAGTCAGATGCCGCAAGGCAAAATATTGACAATACATTCCAGAGCAGCTCATCCCAACAAAGTAGAAATGATGGCTTCAAGACAGTCAACTCACAGCAGAATTCTGGTAACCGTTTCCAGGGTAACTTCAACCAACAAATTACGGATGGTAGGTTCCAGGATGCCACTACCAGATCCCAGATCAACACAAACGATCGCTTCACCCAGCAAAATCAGTTCCAGGATAATACTTTCCAAAGATTTGGTTCTTCATTTGAGAATTCTGACGACACCATCAGCGGCGTCTATGAACCTCTGAACCTTCCCTCTGGCGCCAGCGTCCTGATGGGTAGCATCTCCACGTCGTTCAACTGCCTTGACCGTCCCTACGGCTACTACGCCGACCAAGACAACTCCTGCCGCGTCTTCCATGTGTGTAATCCCGCCCTCTTCTCTGACGGTGCTATCCAGACCTTCCAATACAGGTGAGTTAGTTTAATATTGAGGAATTGTGTCACAAAACCTAGATAATTGTTAGCGGTAATATATACCAGTACGAGATATAAATACGTTCTTATATTAAGGCACCCCGTATATTAATATATAAACCAACGGCTTGCATGTCATATATCCCATATAATATATTAATTATTTTTTTCTAGTTTCATGTGCGGAGAGGGAACCGTGTTCGACCAGAAGGAGATGACCTGCGTGATGGAGTCGTCGGCCACCCCCTGCCAGGAAGCCTCCAACTACTACGTCAGGAACCAAGAGTTCGGTCGTCTCGAGGACAGGCAGTTCTAAACTCCCCTAACCTTCATTGTGTTATGAACCTGACATCACTAACGAACAGTAAAGACAGTGTTAGTACTATAGTGGTATAGTTATATACAAGCAATAAATGATGATTTTACAAGTTCCTTTTCGTAGCAATACCTCTTGTGAAAGGTCAGGTGTAATATTGATATGAAGAGTCGTTGACACTGATGAACTTTAAAATGACTAAAGAAATTAATAGTATTGTTGTGTCTACAGTATTTGTGACTGAACTTAGGAATAACATTTCGTAAAGTATGACAGAGGAAGCTAGTGATTTTAGAAAAATTCTAAGGTGGGAATTATAACATGTTGAATATGTCATGAAAAAAGAGAAACAAGTTATGGTCACAGTAAACATGCACGTACACACTAACCGTCTTCAAGATAATGTCACACATCCTCCACATATCAAGAAAACACAACTCTTAAAACTAATGTCAACTTGAACAAACTTAGTGGCGGGGATGTCCAAGCAGCCATCAACTTCATCTCAGTAATGTTGTGATCACTTAAGTTGTGTTATTGCCATCACTTTGTTCCACCACACAGGAGCCCACCTTCCACATATTTTCATTTAAACGATCAAGCTTTGGGACGTGAAAGGAGGTGCCGAGTGTGGAGAGACAGTCTTCCCACCACGTGAGGAAGGACAACAGTTAGCTATTTTTTGCAGGCGTGTGGGTCGCTCTTTCAGCCTATGCTGTAGGGAGAGAAAGCTAACGTTGACGGTTCTGTGCGTTGACGAGGTGTCAATATTCTTATAAAGTTATATGAAAAGGCAACCAAATGCGTTCCCACGTTCGGGCTGGTATCGTCGTGTTACTGTGCAGGTACGCGTGTCCGGGAAGGTAGCGCCGGTTTGGGTGGGCAAGTGTATGAGCTGGTAGAGTCGGGCTCATGGTCTGGCAGCGCGAGTCAGTGGTTGTCCCGTCAGTCGATCCGTTCTCGACAGTTGAAGTGTTCTTTTAAGTTCACAAGTTAACAGTACTTTAGAAAAGACCACTATTTAGAGACTGACCTTCTGTGTGGTGGTTATCACATAAGGTGTTAGCTGAGGAAGAGAAAAACAAAATATTTATAATGATGCAACTTGATGAGTGACAGCAGGAAGGAAAGAACATATACCTGAGTTATAGCAAATATTTACCGTGTTTTCACACCATCAGTGTTCACCTGTTTTGTGTTGTCTAAAATATAGCAGTTTCCCTTAACTTCTTTTCTTTTAAAAAATTACAGAATTCATTCATTAGATTTACTTCGTACAACTCTTCAACAACAGGAAAAGGAATTTTATAAATACATAAAAAGTTGAAATTAACAAAGATATGCAATATATCTCTATTCCTTAACCTTCTTATTTTTGTTTTCAATTTGCCCTAAAAAACACGATAAATTAATATGCATCTTGTAAGTGTCTGTCTCTGCCGCAGACACAGAGTAGATATTTCATCAATAATTTTACCGAACACATTGATCAGATATGAACTAGTAACACATGACGTAAAACACAAAGGATGGCCCATTGTATTGGTCACCACGTGTTGCAGCAACCCAGTCGAGGGAACAACATGGGACTAGTTAGGGTTTGTACTATTACTCCTGATTACAATGCTCAGTGTTAACTTGATATTTAGCTCTGTCTTTGTCTACACTCCTTTAGCAGGTGGACTGCCCCACGGCGGGTCCATCACTTTCGTTATCACGGTTTGGTAAGGTTGAACTTTTTCGTTGTTTCGCATATTCAGTTTTTCATTGAGCGTAAATGTAATTTAATTCTATTGTGTTTATTATTGATTCAGAACTTAACTTAACTTTACTTTACTTTACTTTACTTTACTTTGCTTTACTTTACTATGCTAGTGCTAACCACTATTCAACAATCTTTGGATATAAAGAACTACGACTGTCCAAAAGAAGTATTCATGATGTGGTCAGCCACAGTTGATATGTTGAATAAAAAATTAAGGGATTACAGATGAGTGTAAGAAAAGTACAATGATTATAGAATAAAAATAAAAAAAACACGTTAAATTGTAACATAATAACCGCAGATAAAAACGTTGTAACGAAAAGTGATTCAAGGATTGCCATGGCTACTACATTGTTAACGGTATTTATGAAATAAGATTACCAGTTTACAATGCTTTACAGTATACAGATGAGCTTGACTAACCATAACTGATGACTGAAAAACCACTTATAACAATACGTTCTGTCAATTTACTCTTTTCCCCAAACTCCCGACCACTTGTACTGTAAGACTATGAACAACTTGGCTTAAATGATCTCACTTTCTACTGCTCAGTGTCTAACAAGGGGACAAACAAAATATACAGTATTTAGATATGTTTATTTATTATCTTGTTATCTAATAATAAATTAGTCAATTTATACCATATATCCTTGTGACTATATTCGGTTAAAGTTCTTCTCGATGGCAAAACTGCATTTCAAGAGTGTTCAGAACTGCCTGTCCTCGAGACGACCGAACTCTTGGTTCCTGACGTAGTAGTTGGAGGCTTCCTGGCAGGGGGTGGCCGACGACTCCATCACGCAGGTCATCTCCTTCTGGTCGAACACGGTTCCCTCGCCGCACATGAAACTGAAGACATATGGAGATGTTATTGGAGTAAGACTTTTTCATGAAAATCAACTTACTAATATTTAATGAATATTTGTTTATATCTGTTCGCTCTTAATTTTTAATTTAAGGAAATAGTAATTAAGCGGAACTATCTATATGCAGATCAACTCACCTGTACTGGAAAGTCTGGACAGCGCCGCCAGAGAAGAGGGCGGGATTACACACATGGAAGACGCGGCAGGCGTTGTCTTGGTCAGCGTAGTAGCCGTAGGGACGGTCAAGACAGTTGAACGACGTAGAAATACCTCCCAACAGTGTGCTGGCGCCAGAAGGAAGGTTCAGAGGTTCATAGAAGCCGCTGATGGTGTCGTCGGAATTCTCAAATGATGATCCAGATCTCTGGAAAGCATTACCCTGGAATTGATTTTGTTGGGTGAAGCGATCGTTGGTGTTGATCTGGGAGCGGCTAGCGGCATTCTGTTGGTTGAATCTGTCCTGGAAGCGAGCGCCAGTATTCTGCTGGTTAGAGTTTTCCTGAGTAATTCTGCCAGTATTTTGTTGATTAGTTTTAAACTGGAAACGGTTACCGGTATTAGGCTGAGAAGTGAATGTCTGGAATGTATTGTCTCTATTTTGTTGTGAGGTTCTGCTCTGGAAGGTGTTGTCTGAATTCTGTTGGAAGTTGTTTAACTGGACACGGCTATCAATATTTTTCTGCGTGGCGTCTGACTTTAAGAGTCTTCCACTGCTTTGCTGGAAATCGTTGGAGTTGAAGGTGTTGCGTTGGTTCTGCTGGAATAACCTGTTCCTCAACAGGTTTCTGTTTGCTTCATTTGACTGGAACTGATTACTGTCAAGGAATGTGCCAGACTGGCTGGAGACGCTGCTGCCAACAAAACCAGATCCGAGGTTGTCTCTCTGAGTGTTTTGTGAGTTGCTGTTGGACTGGAAGGAGGAACTCTGGAACTGATTGTTGCTATCTTGGGGGATGAAAGAGGTCCTTCCTGTTTGCTGGAAGAATCCTTGATCAGCAAGCCTGACGGCAGGAGTGAAGTCCCTCGTCTGCTGGAACTGTTGACCAGCAGCCAGCGCCGCCGCCACCACTGGAAGCATTATATATTTAACATCACTAACACTGACATGTAAGTTTGCTAAGAATTAATAATACATTTTCCTAAATGAAATTATAAACAAGAAACTTTTATAAATTTTTGTGCTAAATAAAATTAATAAAACTTACGAGACACTTTGATCATATCGATATCACAGAGATTATAAAGATGGTGCCTGTGTTGTTGATGAATATCTGCTTTGAAAGTTTCTTTTAATATTTTCTCTGGCGGAAATATTACAATATTTTCTTTTCTAATTTTTAGAGAAAGAAATTTACTTTACTCTGCATTCACCTAATTTTGTTTTATTCTTATACTTTCTCAGAAGCAGTAAAGGAAGAACATCGTGCCCCAAATATGTAATGATTCTCAATTACCCAAGAACATTTATACGTTATCGACGAGTTACTGAAAAGAGAAACATTCGTGAAAAAGTGAGAAAACACAAACTCACCGATGATGAAGGTCTTCATGACTGTCAGTGTTGGGCAGGTGTGAGCTACTGTCACCTCCCCGCCACAGCCGCCCTTATATACCCTGGGAGACGCCTACGAGAGAGGAGTGAGGGGGACCTGGAGTGGTGAGTCGAGTTGAGCGGGAAGGCGGGTGTTGCAGGTAGGACGGCAGCTATGGCCCATTCACTCTTGTACTTCTAGCCTTGTCCTCATTATTAACCTCCATCAACACCTTTGTCTCATTCCAAGATTACCTTAAGCCTATTTCCCTGGTGTGTTAAAGAGATTGCACTGATGACATGATAACTGGGATCCGAGTTAATAAGTATTATACCAAGATATTCGGTAAATATTTGAGAATGAAATGACAGCCAATAGATGAAGAGAGACAATTATTACTTTACATAAAATCGTCCATGGATCTTATCATTAACTTTATGTTGGTCAAGTGTCACTTTAGCAAACTGGGTGCTGTAAATTGCCTTTTTAGCCCTTATTGTCGACGTGTTTATACTTTTTATTAGTTTTAAAGACTTGTCCATGTACTCATGAAATAACGGGTGAAGCTCACTGACAAATGATTTGAGAATATTGTTTATATAATAAGTTCACCAGATATTGTTGAGGGGGAAGCTTCGTTTTGTATAAGATGACAATAATACATTGTCAGGCCCATGTAACTGACTGTGTATGGCCATTTCTCAGCAAAACGGAACTCTGTTGATAACCCTGATTCACTACTGGCGGTGGTGGCGAGGTGAACTCTGGCTGACCAGTTTAGACAGAGACCAACACGGACAGAGCAAATATTAACTATACAAGCAGCTGACCAGGTGTCCCTCACGTCACGTTCATCAAGAAGCCTGCCTACCTTACCTGTCCCCTACCCTTCTTGCCTCACCACAGATGTGCTGAAACACCTGCTGATGTACAGTAGGGGGACCAGAGTTCCTAAACTCCAAAATAACAGTGTGACATAATAGTGCAGTGTTGTATGGTGGTGTTATGGGCTATTGTATATTAGGGTTAAGGTTAGGGCTAAGTTGTTGTTCCATTCACTTCAGTGAATAAAACCTTCCTGAAGTGGGTGGAAATGGATGAGTACAAAAAGACTTAAGAGGTTGCAACTGATCTTATTTATAGAGAATATTTTATAAATCAATGTCTCCAAGCTCTAACCATCTTCCTAAAGGAACATGTGGTGTATCATATATAAAAGGATTAGCAAGGAAGCCGACCATTCGACGGACACGTACGGATACTCGGCCGCTGGGAACAAGAAGTCGGACACGCGGATGACAGTGGCGCGGGAGGCCGCCGTATCTCAACATCAGCTTGGAGTCTGCTCTGTCAATGAGAACTACAAGGGAAGTGTTCTCGTTGTTCGGTGTATGGGAATACTATAAGCCTCTCTTCCCATTAGGGACAGTGTAAATACAGCCTTATTTAGACATAGAGAGAGTGTGGCCAGCACTGCAGACGACCGTTTTCACTTTCCTGTCTGTAAATTTAAGTTCCCATTTACAGCTCGGTAGACTGGGTGCCTCAAACATGATCGAGCGGCTCTTAGCTCATGAGAGGCGAATGCTGTGTCCCTTCGGCTACAGCTCCAATAGATAAATTATGGTTCTTACGAGATAGACATTGACGTTTAAGATAAAATAAAAGACATTTCACCATAGTTACACTGACTACCATGGATCATAACAATGTAGACTATATGTTCCTCTTTCGAGTATCAAGGTGGGATTGGACGGGTATCATTGGTACATGTCAGCACTAAGTTTGATCACCGCCACAGCAACAGAGCGATGCAGCTTGGTCCAGGGACCGCAGTGAGTCTCTTTTTTTGCCTTACATCAAACACAAAGGCTTATATTTCATGCCTGTATGTCAGGTTTCCTTTCCTTACGTTTTGGTGAGAAACTTTGAAGCTAATTTAAATGGATTAAGTTCGTTTCAGTCTTCGACCAGACAAAGATTGAAATGAAAAAAGAGAAAAGGATGATATTGATGTAAGAATGCAATAAATTGTGTGTTCACTCCTTAACCGCAAATGTTTGCAGTTGACTCTTTATAATGGAGAGACACAAACATGAATCCCGTGGTCATCCGCACCAGTGTAAGACCGTTGGGGGATATTTTGTCCAAAAGGTCACCTGCTTAACCTTTTTAGTTCTCCTTCTGAACTTGTTCTAAGAATGAACACTTGTTGATGACCTATATTTTGTTGCATACTTCCGCTTAGAGTAACTCAATATCCAAAAATTAAACATAAACAATTCAGATAAATAGAACTTTTTATTAATTATCTTGCTGAAAATACAAGTTTTGGTAATGTTTACTATACTCAGTAGGAGTCTTAAAGTATAGATGTTCTACTAAACTACTACTCGAAAGTCTTCCGAGATTCTTGTTAGCACTTTTCGTCATGGTGTTCAGAACTGCCTGTCCTCGAGACGACCGAACTCTTGGTTCCTGACGTAGTAGTTGGAGGCTTCCTGGCAGGGGGTGGCCGACGACTCCATCACGCAGGTCATCTCCTTCTGGTCGAACACGGTTCCCTCGCCGCACATGAAACTGAAGACATATGGAGATGTTATTGGAATAAGACTTTTTCATGAAAATCAACTTACTAATATTTAATGAATATTTGTTTATATCTGTTCGCTCTTAATTTTTAATTTAAGGAAATAGTAATTAAGCGGAACTATCTATACGCAGATCAACTCACCTGTACTGGAAAGTCTGGACAGCGCCGCCAGAGAAGAGGGCGGGATTACACACATGGAAGACGCGGCAGGCGTTGTCTTGGTCAGCGTAGTAGCCGTAGGGACGGTCAAGACAGTTGAACGACGTAGAAATATCTCCCAACAGTGTGCTGGCGCCAGAAGGAAGGTTCAGAGGTTCATAGAAGCCGCTGATGGTGTCGTCGGAATTCTCAAATGATGATCCAGATCTCTGGAAAGCATTACCCTGGAATTGATTTTGTTGGGTGAAGCGATCGTTGGTGTTGATCTGGGAGCGGCTAGCGGCATTCTGTTGGTTGAATCTGTCCTGGAAGCGAGCGCCAGTATTCTGCTGGTTAGAGTTTTCCTGAGTAATTCTGCCAGTATTTTGTTGATTAGTTTTAAACTGGAAACGGTTATCGGTATTAGGCTGAGAATTGAATGTCTGGAATGTATTGTCTCTATTTTGTTGTGAGGTTCTGCTCTGGAAGGTGTTGTCTGAATTCTGTTGGAACTTGTTTAACTGGACACGGCTATCAATATTTTTCTGCGTGGCGTCTGACTTTAAGTCTTCCACTGCTTTGCTGGAAATCGTTGGAGTTGAAGGTGTTGCGTTGGTTCTGCTGGAATAACCTGTTCCTCAACAGGTTTCTGTTTGCTTCATTTGACTGGAACTGATTACTGTCAAGGAATGTGCCAGACTGGCTGGAGACGCTGCTGCCAACAAAACCAGATCCGAGGTTGTCTCTCTGAGTGTTTTGTGAGTTGCTGTTGGACTGGAAGGAGGAACTCTGGAACTGATTGTTGCTATCTTGGGGGATGAAAGAGGTCCTTCCTGTTTGCTGGAAGAATCCTTGATCAGCAAGCCTGACGGCAGGAGTGAAGTCCCTCGTCTGCTGGAACTGTTGACCAGCAGCCAGCGCCGCCGCCACCACTGGAAGCATTATATATTTAACATCACTAACACTGACATGTAAGTTTGCTAAGAATTAATAAAACATTTTCCTTAATGAAATTATAAACAAGAAACTTTTATAAATTTTTGTGCTAAATAAAATTAATAAAACTTACAAGACACTTTGATCATATCGATATCACAGAGATTATAAAGATGGTGCCTGTGTTGTTGATGAATATCTGCTTTGAAAGTTTCTTTTAATATTTTCTCTGGCGGAAATATTACAATATTTTCTTTTCTGATTTTTAGAGAAAGAAATTTACTTTACTGTGCATTCACCTAATTTTGTTTTATTCTTATACTTTCTCAGAAGCAGTAAAGGAAGAACATCGTGCCCCAAATATGTAATGATTCTCAATTACCCAAGAACATTTATACGTTATCGACGAGTTACTGAAAAGAGAAACATTCGTGAAAAAGTGAGAAAACACAAACTCACCGATGATGAAGGTCTTCATGACTGTCAGTGTTGGGCAGGTGTGAGCTACTGTCACCTCCCCGCCACAGCCGCCCTTATATACCCTGGGAGACGCCTACGAGAGAGGAGTGAGGGGGACCTGGAGTGGTGAGTCGAGTTGAGCGGGAAGGCGGGTGTTGCAGGTAGGACGGCAGCTATGGCCCATTCACTCTTGTACTTCTAGCCTTGTCCTCATTATTAACCTCCATCAACACCTTTGTCTCATTCCAAGATTACCTTAAGCCTATTTCCCTGGTGTGTTAAATAGATTGCACTGATGACATGATAACTGGGATCCGAGTTAATAAGTATTATACCAAGATATTCGGTAAATATTTGAGAATGAAATGACAGCCAATAGATGAAGAGAGACAATTATTACTTTACATAAAATCGTCCATGGATCTTATCATTGACTTTATGTTGGTCAAGTGTCACTTTAACAAACTGGGTGCTGTAAATTGCCTTTTTAGCCCTTATTGTCGACGTGTTTATACTTTTTATTAGTTTTAAAGACTTGTCCATGTACTCTTGAAATAACGGGTGAAGCTCACTGACAAATGATTTGAGAATATTGTTTATATAATAAGTTCACCAGATATTGTTGAGGGGGAAGCTTCCTTTTGTATAAGATGACAATAATACATTGTCAGGCCCATGTAACTGACTGTGTATGGCCATTTCTCAGCAAAACGGAACTTTGTTGATAACCCTGATTCACTACTGGCGGTGGTGGCGAGATGAACTCTGGCTGACCAGTTTAGACAGAGACCAACACGGACAGAGCAAATATTAACTATACAAGCAGCTGACCAGGTGTCCCTCACGTCACGTTCATCAAGAAGCCTGCCTACCTTACCTGTCCTCTACCCTTCTTGCCTCACCACAGATGTGCTGAAACACCTGCTGATGTACAGTAGGGGGACCAGAGTTCCTAAACTCCAAAATAACAGTGTGACATAATAGTGCAGTGTTGTATGGTGGTGTTATGGGCTATTGTATATTAGGGTTAAGGTTAGGGCTAAGTTGTTGTTCCATTCACTTCAGTGAATAAAACCTTCCTGAAGTGGGTGGAAATGGATGAGTACAAAAAGACTTAAGAGGTTGCAACTGATCTTATTTATAGAGAATATTTTATAAATCAATGTCTCCAAGCTCTAACCATCTTCCTAAAGGAACATGTGGTGTATCATATATAAAAGGATTAGCAAGGAAGCCGACCATTCGATGGACACGTACGGATACTCGGCCGCTGGGAACAAGAAGTCGGACACGCGGATGACAGGGGCGCGGGAGGCCGCCGTATCTCAACATCAGCTTGGAGTCTGCTCTGTCAATGAGAACTACAAGGGAAGTGTTCTCGTTGTTCGGTGTATGGGAATACTATAAGCCTCTGCCCATTAGGGACAGTGTAAATACAGCCTTATTTAGACATAGAGAGAGTGTGGCCAGCACTGCAGACGACCGTTTTCACTTTCCTGTTTGTAAATTTAAGTTCCCATTTTCAGCTCGGTAGACTGGGTGCCTCAGACATGAGCGAGCAGCCCTTAGCTCATGAGAGGCGAACGCTGTGTCCCTTCGGCTACAGCTCCACTAGATAAATTATGGTTCTTATGAGATAGACATTGACGTTTAAGATAAAATACAAGACATTTCACCATAGTTACATTAACTACCATGGATCATAACAATGTAGACTATATGTTCCTCTTTCGAGTATCAAGGTGGGATTGGACGGGTATCATTGGTACATGTCAGCACTAAGTTTGATCACCGCCACAGCAACAGAGCGATGCAGCTTGGTCCAGGGACCGCAGTGAGTCTCATTTTTGCCTTACATCAAACACAAAAGCTTATATTTCATGCCTGTATGTCAGGTTTCCTTTCCCTACGTTTTGGTGAGAAACTTTGAAGCTAATTTAAATGGATTAAGTTCGTTTCAGTCTTCGACCAGACAAAGATTGAAATGAAAAAAGAGAAAAGGATGATATTGATGTAAGAATGCAATAAATTGTGTGTTCACTCCTTAACCGCAAATGTTTGCAGTTGACTCTTTATGATGGAGAGACACAAACATGAATCCCGTGGTCATCCGCACCAGTGTAAGACCGTTGGGGGATATTTTGTCCAAAAGGTCACCTGCTTAACCTTTTTAGTTCTCCTTCTGAACTTGCTCTAAGAATGAACACTTGTTGATGACCTATATTTTGTTGCATACTTCCGCTTAGAGTAACTCAATATCCAAAAATTAAACATAAACAATTCAGATAAATAGAAGTTTTTATTGATTATCTTGCTGAAAATACAAGTTTTGGTAATGTTTACTATACTCAGTAGGAGTCTTAAAGTATAGATGTTCTACTAAACTACTACTCGAAAGTCTTCCGAGATTCTTGTTAGCACTTTTCGTCATGGTGTTCAGAACTGCCTGTCCTCGAGACGACCGAACTCTTGGTTCCTGACGTAGTAGTTGGAGGCTTCCTGGCAGGGGGTGGCCGACGACTCCATCACGCAGGTCATCTCCTTCTGGTCGAACACGGTTCCCTCGCCGCACATGAAACTGAAGACATATGGAGATGTTATTAGAGTAAGACTTTTTCATGAAAATCAACTTACTAATATTTAATGAATATTTGTTTATATCTGTTCGCTCTTAATTTTTAATTTAAGGAAATAGTAATTAAGCGGAACTATCTATATGCAGATCAACTCACCTGTACTGGAAAGTCTGGACAGCGCCGCCAGAGAAGAGGGCGGGATTACACACATGGAAGACGCGGCAGGAGTTGTCTTGGTCAGCGTAGTAGCCGTAGGGACGGTCAAGACAGTTGAACGACGTAGAAATATCTCCCAACAGTGTGCTGGCGCCAGAAGGAAGGTTCAGAGGTTCATAGAAGCCGCTGATGGTGTCGTCGGAATTCTCAAATGATGATCCAGATCTCTGGAAAGCATTACCCTGGAATTGATTTTGTTGGGTGAAGCGATCGTTGGTGTTGATCTGGGAGCGGCTAGCGGCATTCTGTTGGTTGAATCTGTCCTGGAAACGAGCGCCAGTATTCTGCTGGTTAGAGTTTTCCTGAGTAATTCTGCCAGTATTTTGTTGATTAGTTTTAAACTGGAAACGGTTACCGGTATTAGGCTGAGAAGTGAATGTCTGGAATGTATTGTCTCTATTTTGTTGTGAGGTTCTGCTCTGGAAGGTGTTGTCTGAATTCTGTTGGAAGTTGTTTAACTGGACACGGCTATCAATATTTTTCTGCGTGGCGTCTGACTTTAAGAGTCTTCCACTGCTTTGCTGGAAATCGTTGGAGTTGAAGGTGTTGCGTTGGTTCTGCTGGAATAACCTGTTCCTCAACAGGTTTCTGTTTGCTTCATTTGACTGGAACTGATTACTGTCAAGGAATGTGCCAGACTGGCTGGAGACGCTGCTGCCAACAAAACCAGATCCGAGGTTGTCTCTCTGAGTGTTTTGTGAGTTGCTGTTGGACTGGAAGGAGGAACTCTGGAACTGATTGTTGCTATCTTGGGAGATGAAAGAGGTCCTTCCTGTTTGCTGGAAGAATCCTTGATCAGCAAGCCTGACGGCAGGAGTGAAGTCCCTCGTCTGCTGGAACTGTTGACCAGCAGCCAGCGCCGCCGCCACCACTGGAAGCATTATATATTTAACATCACTAACACTGACATGTAAGTTTGCTAAGAATTAATAAAACATTTTCCTCAATGAAATTATAAACAAGAAACTTTTATTAATTTTTGTGCTAAATAAAATTAATAAAACTTACAAGATACTTTGATCATATCGATATCACAGAGATTATAAAGATGGTGCCTGGGTTGTTGATGAATATCTGCTTTGAAAGTTTCTTTTAATATTTTCTCTGGCGGAAATATTACAATATTTTCTTTTCTGATTTTTAGAGAAAGAAATTTACTTTAGTGTGCATTCACCTAATTTTGTTTTATTCTTATACTTTCTCAGAAGCAGTAAAGGAAGAACATCGTGCCCCAAATATGTAATGATTCTCAATTACCCAAGAACATTTATACGTTATCGACGAGTTACTGAAAAGAGAAACATTCGTGAAAAAGTGAGAAAACACAAACTCACCGATGATGAAGGTCTTCATGACTGTCAGTGTTGGGCAGGTGTGAGCTACTGTCACCTCCCCGCCACAGCCGCCCTTATATACCCTGGGAGACGCCTACGAGAGAGGAGTGAGGGGGACCTGGAGTGGTGAGTCGAGTTGAGCGGGAAGGCGGGTGTTGCAGGTAGGACGGCAGCTATGGCCCATTCACTCTTGTACTTCTAACCTTGTCCTCATTATTAACCTCCATCAACACATTTGTCTCATTCTAAAATTACTTTTAGCCTATTATATCCCCTGCTTGTTGGAGAGACTGCAGTGATGATATTACTGGGATCCGAGTTAATAAGCATTATACCAAGA